TCTCTATTTTTACCCTTCTTATGAAAAATATGTGTTCTAGTCTCCTTTCAAATTATCATTTACTTTTTTAATAATTTCGTCCCTTTTCTCCATACTGCAAATAGAACCAATTTGCAAACTAACTTTTTTAACAGCAGACAAGGCTTTTTTTAGTCTTCGACATTTTAGAAACAGCTCTGAGTGCTATCCGAAAGACTTATAAAAAATGTCAACCTAATACGCATCTTCCATCTCTCCTTTAATGCCTTAACTGTCTTGTATCTCACCTGATTTGCTGTCCGACATATCGTTACTTTCGCTTTGTCCTAAATCATGCAGACCGTGACGCATCGTTTTTATTAAGTCACCGCGCCTCTTCTGATGTGCTCCAGATACAGCCTCGATTAGATCAGCCCCCTCGTCACTGTCGCTGGAAGTGAATCTGAGTGCAATCTGGTCTGAAATGCGCCGCATGACGAGGATCCATGAAAGATTCATGTACCGCATCAAGGATAGTCTGATCTTGCGGCTGGTATCTAGGCATTTGTCATTAATTGTTGACTAAATGATAGTATGAAAGAGAATACAACATGAACTTGGTATGACAGCAATTATGGTCCTCTGATAACTTTTGTGTGACGCACAGGGAGAGTGAGCGAAAGAGACGTGATTTGAGAGCTTTAGTAATACAATTTCTGCAAAAGTTTTATTTCATCAGGATCGTGTTTTTAAAGATACTTTAGCTCTGATTAGTCAGTAGGTACAAATTCGAGATGGTTCTGTAAGAACCCTTTAGTAGCCTTCCAAAATCGGACTGACAGCCAAGAGATAAGATGACTAATACGGTTTTGCATCCAGTTTATGATGATCAAGTTCACCGGAAAGGATGAACCTGCAGTCCAGACAGGATAAAAGGCCTTTGAAAGATAGAAGCATTAGATAGGCAAACAAAGCTATCAGGATTTGAAGGAATATACACGAATATGTTAAGGTCTTTTGTAGGTTCGTATTATTCTTTTAATTTATAGCAATTATATGACCTGGTTTTGGAAACATGGTCATATTAGCAGGAAGTTCTAAACGAATGTACCTTGTCCGGAGTCTATGGTATGCATGATAATTTACAGTCGGACCACGGACTTAGTACATTCCCAGACGTTTCGCCGACATCGTAGTCGACATACCTAGTACCACACTGCAACCCGTCAAGGAAACAAATGAATGCTATCTTTTGATCAATTGTCTGCCAAGCAATTGTGCTATCTCTCCTTCTA